TAAGCCAGGTATTTGGTAAATCATTACTGACAGTGAACAATAAATCTGGTGTTTCGTAAATCATTATTGACAGCGAACAATAAGCCACGTGTTTCGTAAATCATTATTGACAGCGAACAATAAGCCAGGTGTTTGGTAAATCATTATTGACAGCGAACTATAAGCCACGTGTTTCGTAAATCATTATTGACAGCGAACAATAAATCTGGTCTTTCATAAGATGCTTGTGACTATTGTTGGTCTGATGTCTTCGTTTTAACATAAAAAGGAACCTGAACTCTGTGTTTAGTTGGTAACGAGAGGATTTAACCAATGTTTTCTAATGTCCACACAGTGATGCCCAGAAGAAAATGACTTAGTTTAGAAAGTGCGCCAACTTAAAGGCAGAACCCAATTCTCCATGATACTGCCATTGAGTTCAATAGTATTCAACACCACTATGCCCTCATATAAAATCCTAGTGTTGACCTTTGACCTTACATCTAACAAATTTTTAAACTTAGTATAGTCCAAATCAAACCAGTCCATCATTTCTTTTCTGTTTCATGAAAACAATAAGGATAAACATTGAATAAAACAGTATGCAAAATTTGACTTACTTAAGACTAGGTAATAACTTTTGTGAACCAAACTTGAGGAAATTACAATATAATACAAATTAAGAAATGATTTTTTTTTTGTAGAAAAGCCACATTGGACTACCCGCTGTGTCCACCGCGAGAAACCGAACCCCGGGTTTTAGCTTTATAAGCCAGTAAATTTACCGCTAAGAAAAATATATATGTATTAAAAATAACGCTTGGTTGAACGAGCTTTCAAAGAATCGTTAGTATAATATTTTTGAAAAAAAAAAGTGAAAGAGAGACCTAGACCTGACGGGTTTCAAACCTGTAATTTTCACATCTTCAGGACAAAATCTAATAATATCATAGGAGAACGCGACATTTAAAGTTTCTCCAAGGGATCTTGTTATTTCAGGTTCTAGTGCAATGACCTCCTATTTCGCTAAACTTTGAATTTCTTTGGATCCATGAGCCGTTAATCCGAAACTCTTTGGACCCGAGACTCCATGGTGTAGGAAAGAGTGGGAACAGTATTTGATACTAGGTTCTGTTATTTATATTATATTTAAATTACATCATGATTCTCAAGCAAAGTTTCCAAACCACTGTTCTTAGCACTTTAAACCAACGTTTCGCTGAAAATGAGTGACGTTTCATAAATTTTGCCAAAAACAATTTTAAAATTTGAGGTATCGTTTCCTTGAACTGACAACGGTCTGTCACAACCACGTTGCCGGTGGGCGGGATTTCACGAAAACAAACAAAATTTACAGAACATTCCAATTTTAAAATCGTAATGATTTTTCGTTATATTTACATTTTATTGATTTCTGACAGTTTAGGGAGGCAGTGAGCCGGTCCCTGGTATCGAAAAGGTTAAGAAAACAATTAAAACAGACTTCTAAAAAAAACCAGGTGATCGGTTTAGTTGAGAAAATAGTAGAAAATTTTCCCGGTAGGTGTAAATAAATCAAACGCCAGTTTCAGCAGTACGAATTTTTTAACGGTTTTTTTTTCTTATATATTCTGCGTTGTCGTTTAATTTAACGAGTCAACCATTCACCTGTCCAATTAAATACTTTAATAGTATGAAGCCGTTGTACGCGTGTGTGGAGATAATAATAACACTACCGTATTGATCGCTTCAGGTAGAACTTTACGATGGTCGTATACCTTTATATAAGCACGGCCAAGGAATAGGTGTGTGTACGTGTATATTTATATCTATATATAACTCAACAAGGTTACCATGGCAACACATGGTGTATTGTTCACTTCGTACGTACTCTTTAACAGAGCAGTAGTGAGCTCGATTCTGGTCGGAAAGTTACAGATTCAAGATCCGAAAAGTAGCAACGTGAAAAACAAGGCTTACGGTTATCACGGTCCAACTGGAAAAGTCTGTATGATAAGAACATTGACTATCTCTGCGTAGTTACTCCGAGAGTATCAGCGAAGAGAAACCCGTCCTATCTACCTGCCCGACCCGAGAGGTTGAAGTCTGACGAATAGGTACGTCACAACAGCCCTGAAAAAAAAAAGTTTAAGGTTTATCTTTAGCTTAGAAATAAGGATTCAACCAAAGTAGAAGATTTTAAAGCTAACAAAAGATTATTTCCGTATGCCAATCTCTTTGCTGATTTAAGTAATGCTTAGTTAATCATTTAGATTTTGATCACGAGACAGACATTGTAAAGTACTATCTTCTTAACACTTGTCCATTTTGTTATTTACTAACTCTGTGTGCCTGTAAAACTTGATTTTATATACAATTACCTTTTACAAGAACGTGTAACTATCGGAACTGTAGCGTAAAGCAAGTTAAGGTTGTTTTTTTTTACGAGTTGACAAACATACAGAGCATATATTAATTGAAAAGCGTATTTATCTGCAGATTAATAACACAAATATTTGTATTTAGACGTTTCGGAGTACAGGCTTTCTCCAAGGTCAGCATAAAATTGAAATAATAACTACGTTTCTGAATATAGGTTTAATTCGTCTTCAGCATAAAACTTAAAATCAATTTGTGTTTGGACGTTTCGGAGCAAAGGTTTACTCCATATTCAGCATAAAACTTAAACTTGAATAACAAAAAGTACTTGTATTTGGACGTTTCGGAATATTGCTTTAATTGATCTTCAGCATAAAACTTAAACAAAAGCAATGTGTATTTTGGCAAAGCTACCATACAACTATCTGCTGACTTCCCTAATTTTGAACTACTGAACAGTACAACCAGACAGCAGCACCCTACCACCAATGATCCACACTAATTGATTGACTGTCGTTCTTATAATCTACTCACATCTTGAAATGTGGTAAGCCTTTCGTGGTATCTAATGGATCTGAACCCGGCTCGCTAGCTCTGAAATATATATAACTGTACAGCAGGGCACAACAGTGGCCAAATAAAAAACAACAACATTTAATTAAGCGCAAAACTATACAACGGGCCATCTGCGCTGTGTCCGCCAAGGGGACCAAACCCTGGATTTTAGCACTCAGCTACCGGAGGACAAAACAAGAAAGAAACCTAGGAAAAAAAAATTAATCACAATAGTAATAAAAAACCACCTAAAATTATAAACGCTAGATAGGGTTGGTTGAAATGACTTTGCTGTACAGTGCTAGCCACTTAAGTCAACATTCCGACTTTATTGACTGTGTTATAAATTCTCGTTCCTCGATCCTCCTTACACTAGCAAAAAAAAAGTGCCTCGCTGTCTCGACATCGACTTAGACGAATAACGGTTGATGTCGACAGAACATTCTGGTCCCAAAACCTTTTATATTCGTTGTTTTCTTTATGAATATGTTAACAACATGCGTAAACAGGACTTCCGAGAGGAGTTTCAAACCATTAAAATGGAAAAAGTACGAAGTATGTGCAAACCATGAACAAACTTGTATGTTGGTTTGTTTTTTTAATTTCGCGCAACGTTACCAATGGGATATCTGCGTTAGCCGTTCCTAATTTAGC